ACATGCCCGATCCAGACGTGGAGCTGCTGAGGAAATCCCACCAGCAAGTCGTTCGGAAAATCGAAGCTAATACTGCGAGGCTGCGTCTGGTGTATGAGGGAGGCAAGCGGGGTATCGTCTCCGCTGCCACCAAAAGGGACCTGCCCACCCTGCTGGTATCATTGCGCATGCTCCGGCAGAGAGGCACCCGCTTTCCAGTGGAGGTCTTTATTGCTTCAGAATCCGAGTATGATGACATTGTGTGCGGGGTGATACTCCCCGGGCTGAATGCCAACTGCATCGTGATGTCCGATATCCTCGGAGTAAATCCCAACTATAACGTGGCGCGTTATTGGCTGAAGTCATTTGCAATACTCTTCTCCTCCTTTGAACAGGTTCTCTGGCTTGATGCCGATTGCTTCCCCTTGCACGACGCAATCGAGATATTCCAGTCCGAGCCATTTACAGAGATCGGGTTGGTGACATGGCCGGACTTCTGGGTGTCCAGCGCATCTCCGTATTTCTACAACATCACCTCCCAGCCACAACCATCCTTATCAGAACGAGCGTCCACCAACGGCAGACAATTCCTGATCTCGAAGAAAACCCATGCAAAAACCCTCCTCCTCGCAAGCTACTACAATTACTACGGCACAATGCACTATTACCGCCTCCTCGGCCAGGGCGCGCCGGGCGAAGGCGACAAAGAATCCTTCCTAGCCGCAGCCGCCGTCCTGAACCAGCCTTTCTACGCCGTCAGGGAACCAATCCGCTCCATCGGGCGCCTTAACGCCGATGGCAACATGACCGCCTACGCCATGGTCCAGTACAGCCCCACGGAGGACCACAAACTGATGAGTACTGGAATCGATCGTGCCAAGGACCCAAACGCAGCGCCAGCCCCGCATCCATTTTTCATCCATGTCCCGAACTCCAAAATGAACCCAGCCTCCATCTTCAACGGCAATTCCAGGAAGCATTTTGGACTGGATGGACCGAACGGGAGACCGATGCGCGCATGGGTTGAGGAGAAAGAAACGATTGACAGCATCGGTGGTCCCAAGGTGGAGCGCCAGTTGTGGTCCCAGGTGGCCTGGACGGCATGTACCCTTGAGGAGATGGAGTATAAGGACTGGGCGCGTCATAGACCTATCTGCACGCGAGCGAATGAATATGTCGATGCGGTTTTCTCGGAGGGTAATAATAATACGCGCTGAAATGGCACAAGTTCGTCGAATCAAGTTTTCTTTTGTATAGAACAGGATCGAGGATCGCTTTTTTTCTTTTTTCTTTTCTTTTTTCTTTTTTCTTTTACATGTTGTATCATAGGCATAGATTGTGTCCGTCCCTTCCTCTTATTTGACCTTCTTGTGCGTTTTGTTACTTCTTCCATATTGCCATACATGTCCCAATCCGTTTATGAGGTCAACCAACAGGTGTTCAGGATGGGCAATTTTAACTGCGCGGCGACGATTGGATTGATTCTTTTGGAAACAAAACAATGGACATTGTGTGTTTGCCTGTTCTCAAACAGGCTAAGATATATAAATATATTGATCTTATGAGACAAGAGCTCACTTGGAAAAAAAAAAAAAAAAAAAAAAAAAAAAAAAAAAAAAAAAGAGGTCCCTGCTTTCAAAAGAAAATTACCATTGGATGATTCAGATTTCTTATCCATTTCTCTTCAACATGCGGGCTGTTGGTTTGGGATGAACACATGTAGCCCAGATATTGTAGGTGGCTCTGCCTCATTGACGGGATCATTCTATGGACCTGTCACCTCAGTCAGCCACAACCCCCATGTCCGACTTCCCCACCCATCATCCCCCGCCTTAAGCTCCCAAAAATGGGACATATGCCCATTTAGTACGTAGACTTCTTGATAAAGCAGAAATCCTCTTGGTAGTTTTCGCCTTTCATGACATCTGCACGCAGATGTTGAAACTAAGGAGATTCCTTGATTCCTTGAATGATGAGGTCCCACCAACGCTAAATGCAAGCAGCGCAGCATCATTGTACTGTACCACACAGCCTTCACCTAGCCAATTGTACTCCGTAAACTCGGCGTCATGATTGCCAGCGATGGAGTCTATGATGGACATTCGTTCACGAAGGCCGGCAGAAAATGCCCCCGGCTTTGCCCCACCCCAAGAAGGCTGGTAAATTTGATCCTATTGACCGGCAGAAATCCGACAATACACGACGTAGTTAGGGCAGCCACCATCAGGTCTAACGCGATTAATTTTACAGGGTTTGTGATAATTGTTGCCAGACTTCGAAAAATGAAAAAAATGAGACTGCAACATCTTCCAGCCGAGATATTGATACTCGTGACGGAGTACTTCTGTGACCACGCCGGCTCCTTTGCGATTCCAATCTAAAGTCTTTCCGACTCGTCTCTAAACGGATTGCTGATATCACAGCTCCAGCCCTCAACCGACGCACGCAGATTGCATTTGCAGTGTTTGTCACCACAGACGCTGCGCAAACTCGAAGAAATCCTGCAACACCGAACGTTTTGCTACGACGGTCCGCAGACTCAAGCTCTCCGTGGCGTATTACGACGCCCTACTCACTCGGGATTTCTCTTTATTCGCAAAATATATGGTTGACCGAGAATTTCAGATTCGCACAAAACTTTGCGGCGAGATTAGACAGTGTATTAACAATCAGTTTTCCCTCGCTTCGAAGGAGTGGCGTGCCGTGGGCTTTGGCTTCTATGAAGAAAACAATCTCACCCATTATCAAAGCCTCCTCAAAAAGGGTCACGGCATTTATTGCCATTTACTCAATGAACAAGAAGTGGCTTGGCATGATAATTCATATATGACCCGACTCTCAGCCTTACTGAGAAGGCTGCCGGCTTTAGAGCAAATAGTGATCACGGACAAGGACGAGAACGCACTGGGCTTGAGCGCTGATATAGCTAAGGATCCCGCGGTGACCATTCGTGCTGGAGACTGTGAACGCACATTACCCCAAGAGTGGTGTGACAGTTTGCTGATAAAGTTCTGTTCCCTGCCGTCGTACTGGCAATCATGTTTCTCGTGCGTCGAAGTCCAAGCCAAAAGAATTCGTCATTTCACACGGGAGCCACCTCCAGCTGAACTGCTGCCCGCCATCTTCGGAGTTCTTGAGCATGCGAACATCTTTCCGACGCACTGTCACATATATTTATCCACCCCTGTCAGTTATGAAACTCTTGAAATTTCCTCTGGCTCGTTGCAATGTATCAGCCGTGTTGTGCGCAGGGCAACTGATTTGTCTCTGGGTTTCTACGGCCTAGATCGACATTTCGGCCCTTCCTCTGCACTCCTGGACCGGGAGAGCATTGGAAAACAACACCTGTATAGTCTCTCTCGCGCATTTTTCAACACAGACTCTGTTCAGTCAATAAAAATAGACACTTCACTTCATTGGTTCGTAGCGGGAGAACCATGGGGGGATGTGAAGCTCTCAGATCTTCTTCCATACCGGGAGCGCTGTTGGCCGAATCTCAGGGCCATATCTTTGATTATCGAATTCCAGGGACCGGATCTCAGGCATTTGGTGGAACAGCACAAGGGATCGCTTAGAATCGTACACGCTCATTGCTTGCTGCCGAAGGAAGATCTGGTGAAATATATCAAGGACACTATCGGGCCTCGAGTTGAAGAGGTCCTCTTCTGTGAGCCCGCTAGAACCGAATCTCGTCGCTTTTCTCGAAATGCGGTCTTCTTTTCGCCGTGGGGTCATCGACATATTTTTTCGAGTTGAGTTGCTCGATAAATACGGGCACGTTTGCTTTCCTCCTGGTTCTTGATGTGGGAGTAGCCCGACTCTCTATATCTGCTCCCCTCCTCTTTTCTTGTTCTGTATTTTAATGGTAATAGATGCACTATCTAATGGCCGATAATAGTGGTATCTCAGAGATCGACTGATTGATTCGGGAATGTGCAATGAATGATGTTTCGAGTTGAATGTGAATATCCTGATAGACGGGCAATCAGGTGCTGGGGCGATAACCGGCGGCTGTTGAATCTCTTCTGGGGTCTTTGTGTGAACCCTATTGAATACAATAGAAGTAGTTAACTTCATACTAAGATAGTAAGCGTGTAACCTTGTGTTGCGAGAAATCAAGTCGCAAATCTTCTGGTCGATCTTAGGCGGACATTCACGTGATTCTAATTATACACTAGTCCATATTAATACTAGTGTCGCATGCCGAGCTCCAAAACTTTTTCCAAAAGTGCACAAACCGACTCTCGCCGGGCGTAATCCAATCCCTAGAACTTGCGAACAACTCTACCTTCGCGTTCCTATATTACCCTCTTGTACGATTGTGGGGTATCCACTGACATCGGAACAATTGGCCGTCGTGCTGAATGATTACTTCTTGTGAGGGCAGCCTAGTGAACGTTTTCCTGTTTTTCACGATACCGCAAAAGTCGAAAATTTTGTGTTGAATTTTCGTCATCCCGAGTGAATAGCTTTCAATCCAATCGAAGGCGTCTTTCCTGCCGCCAACAACTCCAATCAATCTCATCTTATCCTCCCAACGATTTAAGCCAATTTAAAGAAAATGGCCTTTGGACCTCCGCGTGGACGGGGCGGAGCACCCAGAGGGCGTGGAGGTGATCGTGGGCGTGGTGGACGTGGTGGGAGAGGTGTGTATTCATAACCATTTCCCTTTTTTTGAGGAAATCTCCGTTGCTGTTGGAATGGACCTGTGTGCTGGTTTGCTGTGATGCGGTCCCGCTATTTGCGCCTTTTCGCCCCGAAACTTTGAAACTGGAATTGCAAAACAAAGATTTATGTGGGATGTGAAGAACTTGAAGAACTCGCTGACTGACTTCACCATTCACTCCCATTGGCAGGGGGTTTAGGATTCTCAGACCGAGGGGGTGGGCGTGGTGGTGGTCGCGGAGGCGGTAGAGGTGGCAGAGGAGCCCCTCGTGGCCGTGGAGGTCGCGGAGGCGGAAGAGGCGGCGCGGGGGCTAAGGGTGGTGCCAAAGTTATCATTGTAGGTTACCAGCAGTGAAATGGTGGTTTCAGTTTTTGAAACAGCTATTTGTTCCGATGGAGTACCATATATCGTCTTTCTTTTTATGCGCACACCTGACTCATCGGTATCCCTGAGTAAACAGGAACCCCATCGTCACCCCGGTGTCTTCGTCGCTCGTGGTGGGAAGGAAGATCTCCTTGTTACCAAAAACCTCACACCAGGCGAATCCGTCTATGGCGAGAAGCGTATCTCCGTTGAGTCAACTGCACCTGCCGCCAATGGTGAGGTCGCCGCTGCCACCAAGACTGAGTACCGTGTATGGAATCCCTTCCGTAGCAAGCTGGCTGCTGGTATCCTCGGTGGTCTCGACAACATCTACATGCGCCCGGGATCGAAAGTGCTGTATCTCGGTGCCGCCAGTGGGACATCCGTCAGTCATGTCGCTGATCTCGTAGGGCCTACGGGGACAGTCTACGCAGTCGAGTTCTCTCACCGCTCCGGTCGTGACCTGATCGGAATGGCTACCCACCGCACCAATGTTATTCCCATCGTCGAGGATGCCCGTCATCCCCTTCGCTACAGAATGCTGGTTGGAATGGTTGATGTAATCTTTGCGGACGTTGCCCAGCCTGACCAAGCCAGAATCGTGGGTCTCAATGCCCATCTCTTCCTCAAGGCTGGTGGTGCTGTTATTGTTAGTATCAAGGCAAACTGTATCGACAGCACAGCTAAGCCTGAGGTTGTGTTCGCCAGGGAAGTCCAGAAAATGAGGGAGGAGAAGATAAAACCTAAGGAACAGCTCACACTAGGTCAGTATTATACTCAAGCTATAAGTTTGTGTCTCTCAGCCTTACCCTCTGAATGCTGACAGCACCGGCCTACAGAACCTTTCGAACGTGACCAT